AAGGTATTCTTAACAGAATAGGGAGTTTCTGTAACTGGTCATGTCCTAGTCCTATAACTGGCATTAATAACTACTCTCTGCTGCTTGTTCTGTATTCTTTTGGTCTTCCACAAGTACCCCAGCTTGTTGTGACATACAGCTGGACAGCTGATGTATCTCAAGCAGGATAGTGAATGTGTGTTGCTGGCTTTGCCAGCTAAAGTAAACTTTGTGGTTCATTTTATGGGTAGGTATTTGATAAATCAGTAGTTCCTTTTCAGGTTCGAGGTACGTTAATTTGCTCAAGCAGTGAAACTACATCTGAATGGCATCCGCAGTTGGAATCACCTCTTGGTTAAGTTTGCAACAATGATTATTGTTTCCCAAGATCCTTTTCAGGTAGGCCCTAAAGAATCCCTTATCAACAGTGGTCTGTTTTGGTTACTGTGTACAACAAGGGACTAGAAAAGTGTCTGACCCAAACTCAGTGCTCAGTGAACATTTTTAAATGGTGAATGAGTGAGTGCCTACCATCAGTGATTAACTTTGAGTCTGTTAACATCAAGAAAGCAATTTCTATGTATAGCCCCTCCTTTTTAAAATTAAGACAGCATCTCTGAACCCTTGCTGGCCTGGAACTAACTCACTGTGTGCTCAGTTGATATCGAGTTCAGCAATCCTGCCTTTGTCTTTTATGTGTTGGGGTTACAGATAGGCACCACCATGCCTGGCATCCTTTTCTTATTTTAAAAGTGGATCAGTGAGGTTTTATTAAAACAGCAGCCTTAAATGTATTTTCCTGAAGGCTCTTGTAAGAATCTCAGTGCTAAATAGAACTGAAAAGCCACTGGACTTGAGAGAGGATCTCTAAGATGCTCAGGTTTATGATGGTAAGTGTTTTCAATAATTGGAAGTAGGTCTGCTGAGAGGATTCTTAATGCAGAGGAGACATTTAGACTGAGAGTCGGTGGATGTTTAGTAGATGGACTGGGTGGTAGGACTGAGGCGGTCAGTCCCAGGAAACACAGAAGGAGGTGAACAAACAGGAGCAGGAAGAACGTTCCACAATCCCAGAAGGTTTCAGTAAGTCTGGACTCTGTGTGTGTGCATGTGGACTTACATGCTTAGTGCATGTTTGGTATGTAGGTGTGGGAGAAAAAGAGAGGGAAATACGTGGGCAGAGAGATGGAGTGGGGGATTGTGCCTGGAAAAAGAAACATTGAACTCAGCTGTCAAAAGCTTTGAATGCCATGATAAACAGTGTGGCTTTTTTTTTTTTTAATAGATGGGGTAATTGGGTCACCGTGTCTAAATACTTGCCATAAACAATTGAAGGAAGGGAGGGTTTATTTTGGCCTATGATTTGAGAAGATTCGGTTGATGGTTGCTTGACTCCGTGTGCCTGGACAAAACAGGATAGCAGGAGTGGGCTGGAGGCTGGCCTTGACTTCTTGGCAACAGGAAGCCGAGAAAAGGGGAATATAGGAAGAAGCCAGCTGAAATATGGCCTCAAGGACAGGTAGTGACCTACTTCCTCCAACTAGGCCCCACCCAGCCTTACCTTTTACCACCTTTAACTAATGCCATCAAATTGTGAATACATAAAGAGAGCTCCATTGATTCTATCAGAATCCTTGGGCTCTGTTTCTGGACCTCCGTGGTATTTCACTAATCTCTGAGGTGTTTCACGCTAATCAAATTGACAGTCAACATTAGTCATTATCTAAAGCTTTCTGTTAGCTAATCTATAATTTGAAATTCTCCTACCTCAGCCTCCAGGATTGGGATTACGGCTGAGCACTGGGTAGCCTGGCCTTTTGTTTTGCTTCGCACGCTCAGAGTTGTTCCTTCCCTCCCCCATCTCCTCCTCCTTCCCCTTCATGAAACAAGGTCATTGTCTTTGGTGGAGTTGTTTTGCAGCAAGACTGTAGTTGGTGGTAGAGAAAGGACAGCTAGGGTATGTGTGTACACATTTTTACCTGCTGTGGTGCTAGGGATTCGAACCAGGGTCTCACTGAGGCATGCCAGGAAAGCAACCTACTATTGAGCTATATCCATAAGCCTTTTAAGTGAAATTATCGTTAGAGATAGAGCTCACTGTTAGATAAGAGTGATCTCAGCGGTCAGAAACAGGAGGACCGCGTGTTCTACATAGTGAGTGAGTTCCCAGACATGGTGAGTTTTTGTCTCAAAAAGAGCTGAGGGGCTAGTGAGTAGGCTCGGTGGTTAAGAGCATTCACTGCTATTGCAGAGGACCCAGGGTTGAGTCTCAGCACCTACATGGTACCTAACAACCATCTGTAACTACAGATCCAGGGGATCCCATGTCCTCTTCTGACCATCTCGGGCACCAGGCATACACATGGTGTATAGACATACATGTAGGCAAACTGCTCATACCCATAAAATAATAAACTAAATCTTTTAAAAAAGAGCTGAGGCAGGAGGAATGCCATGGGTTTGAAATTAGCCTGGGTTCCATACATAGTGAGTTCCATAGCGAGTTGTAAGTTTGCTTGCCTAAAGTGTAATCCTGACTCAAAAACTGAGCTCTGTCTGTAAGAGTTAATTACTATATCATATGATATATGTCTGTTTAACTTCTTAGGAAACCGCCAGGGTCTTCTAAAGTAGGTATATCATTTTCCCTACCTACCGACAATGTATAAAAGTAGTAGTTGCAGGTTTAGGCAATTCTTAGTTGGTAAAATGCTTGATGTGCAGACGCGCAGACCTGAGTTGTACTGCCAGTCTAAATAGCTTAAGCTGCCAGTCTAAATAGCTTAAGCTGGTCTTAAACGTGCTGGCTAGCTGAGTCGGGATTTTAGGCACGCATTACTGTGCCTGATTTTCACTATTTTGGAAACATACTAATCCTAACCTCAGGATAGTATATTTTAATGTACCTATGGGACATGTGTGCACAACTTAATTGACCTCCCAAGATGGCTATGGTGTCAAACCTGAGTGTGTGTGTGCATTGTGAACCCCATGTTTCACACATGCTTGGTATATGGTTTGCTGTACTAGAGTTAGCCCTAAGGATTTTTTTTTTCAGTGTTGTGGATTGGGCATTGTATATATTTGGCAGGTATTCTGCCACTGAGCCATACATACCCTCAATCCTGTGGTGTTGTTGTTTTAAAGAAAGTGTTTTGCGGGCTGGCGTGGCGGTGCACGCCTTTAATCCCAGCACTCAGGAGGCAGAGCCAGGGGGATCTCTGTGAGTTCAAAGCCAGCTTTGTCTACAGAGCAAGTTCCAGGATGGGCTCCAAAAAACTTTTCAAGAAACCCTGTCTTGAAAAAAAAAAAAAAAAAAAAAAGGCTTTTGCTGTGTAACTAAGGCTGTTCTTGAACTTGCTGGGCTTGACTCAGCCTTGCATTGCCCCGCCTCAGCCAAAGTAGCTGGAATTACAGGCGTGTGTTACTGAACTCTGTTCCAAGCACTTTCTATGTTCCTGTGTGTGCTCACCTGCATGTGTAGGGCAAAAGTCAACACAGGATGTTGTTCCTCAGGAGCCACCCATCTTGTTTCTGAGGCAGGCTAGATTAGGCTAGGCTAGCTGGCCAGCGAGCTCCAGAAGTCCTCCTATCTCCTGTCTTTTGCTCTGCTAGGCATTGAACTCCAGGCCATTATTCATGCCAGGCAAGCACTTGTCTATGGAGCTACATCCCCACCCAAGGCCCAGGTTTTCACTTAGGTGATGGGCACCAAACTCAAGTTCTCATGCTCGTGAGGCAAGCACCTACTGCCAAAGTCCTCTCCCCGGCCCCCGTTCCAGGTTGTATTTTTGTAAAATTTTTTGTCATTAAAAAAATTAATGTTGCTATTTGTTTATTTTCATATCATCCTTTTACTTTTTATAATTTTTATTTCTAATTACCTCTTAAAAATCAAATTGGGTTTACACGGATATTGCCCAAAATGTTTCAGCTGTGGAAATGAGTTGGGGGCTTTCCAGTGAACAGTGGACTTCCATTAACTGTCAGAGAACCTTGTTCCTGGGTGTATGGCTTCTGAATATTCATTCTGAATTAAGTGAGCTAATAGGACATTTGGTAGTCAAAAGTGATTTATTCTTTTTCATAATTGAAAAATAATTTATTAAGCCCTAGAGATTACTTTAGGAAAAAGGAACTCTTCAGTGAAATAAATAGGCCACCTTGATTAACTAATTTGTTTGAATAAATTAAAATGTGCTCACTGAGGGGCCAGGGTAAACGGTGTGGTGACGTTTTGGTGGCTTGAGTACCAGATGGTGCTCTGGAGGACATTGCTATAGCCGTTCGCTGGTTGGATTAGCCGGTGTAGAGTGCAGTGTTGGAGAAGGGGGCCTGGTACTGAGATGCAGAAAGTTTTGTTCCACGGGTAAAGCTGTGGCTCTCTCTTGGAAATGAACTATGATTTCCTTGGTAACTTTAAAAAAGTATTTTATCAACCTTTCAGTTCTACTTACAATCGTCTTGCTGTGTTGGACTTTCTAACATAAATTTTTAAGTTATTTTAGCCACATTAATTGACAATTATTTCTCCACTGAACTTTGGATTTTCTAGTGAATTTTATCTGTTTAGAGAAGCTATAAGTCTGCATCTGGTGCTACAGTCTGCTAGCTTTTCCAGATTACATAGCCATATATCCCGTCCTAGGAGAGTTAATGAGTAGCTAGGCTAGACGCACCTTTTCAATTGCTACGGTAAGAGACAGAGTTCCTTCTCTCTTTTCATCCTCTTACTTTCTTCCTTTTATAGTAGTTGTATTTATTTGATGGTTAATTTCACTTTCTTATAGCTTGCCATTCTGTTTTATAGTATTAATTGTGAAATACGGCAGTTAGCATGTGGCAGTTTACACGGGTAGGTTTTGCTCCTTGGCTCTTGTCTCTCTCTCTCCGGTCGGTTGCATGCCTCTTCCCCGCTTTTTACCTGTGCATTTGCGTGTTTGACCTAGCAGAATAATTGGGTCCACAGCAACATGGGCGTGCCGCCCTTAGAAACACTTAGTTTCATGTGTGAGTCATAAGCTGAAGCAGACACCACTTCCCCAATCTCCAGGAGCCATTTTAACAGCACCAAACTTGCCGGATTGCTTTTCAGTCTCAAGCCCAGAGGACGAAACTTGAAGACAGAGTTTAAAGGTAACTTGTGATTTTGTTGTTTGCTTCTGGCTATTTTGGGGCTAATAAACGGAGGCGGTTCTTACCTGTGGCAGAACATGGCTGAATGTATTCTTTAACTCTGATAAAATATGTGTAGTGAGTCACATGCCTGATTACACTTCACAACTACAGGCAACAAAGCATTCAAAGGCTGAAAAGTCCTAGCTCTTCCCCTCCAGCATTTTGTATGTTTATGTGCTTGGCATTTTCCCCTCCTCTAACTTCAGATAAAGAAACTCCCCCCTCCCCCCGTAAAGTAAACTAGATCAAGTTTTAATTAAAATAAATCTAATTGTCTTTGTCAGACCAGCTGAGAAGTGACTCTTCAGTAAACTGTATTGCTCATGAGCTTCAGATGTTGGGAAAAAAAAAATCCAGGAACAGTGGCTTTATTACGGTTTTTAATTAAGTATGAAATCTTGGGTCAATTTAGTCATAAGTGTTGCTCACAGACCATTCTATGCTTTGTTTGCTTTGTTTTCTTTTTTTAAGTTAATGAATTACACTATTTCATTTTGAAAACCAGAGAGAGGTGTAAAACCTAAGCAGAGGCACTCTAAAGTGAGCAGACATTTCGGTGGTAGAAGCGTGTTTTCAGTGCTGAGGAAGACAGCCGGACTGATTCATTCAGCGTTCGAGAGGAACAGCCTTATGTTCACATGAACTTGCTTTGGGTAGCAACTTCAGAAGTGAAACCGTAGCTGAAGGAATTGGGTACTGTTTCAGTTTTGTGTAGAGAACAGGAGAGTGAGGCCTTCCTCTTACTACTGGTTTTAAAATTTTTTTTAATTAAAAAAATTAAAAACCTTTTGTTAACAGGAGGTGGCTCAGTCTTTTCCTGAATTATTTGTCATCCCTAAAACTGTTATATTTGGCTGTACAGCAATATTTTACTTCTAAAACATTCATGAAACTATCATTTGGGTAAAAGTAAAATTTGAGCATGTAATGATTAGGAAGAATTTTTGGAAATCAAATTCACTGTCATTTATTAGTGACCCAGATAGTTTCTAGCTAGTGGGCTGAGGATTGGCTCTAGCTTTCTGAGTCGTTTTGAAAGGGAAGGCAAGAGGGGTATTACTTCTTAATCTCCGGAAGGGTCTTGTGGCAGCAGATCTCAGTGTCGTGGTCTTGTAAGAAAGGCCGACATTTCGACAGTTGAGCTGTGAGCCCTTCCGTCATCTTTGTTTGCATATTGCAGGTTTGGTTGGCCTTTGACTAAGCAAAGGCTGTATTTGCTTCAAGTCTGGCCTGGAAAAAACCAAAACAAAACAAAGCAAATCTAATGACACCTTCTTACTTTTTTCTTTTTCTTTTTAAGGCTAGTGATCCATAAGAGAAAAATCAAGGGGGCAAATAAGCAAACTAAGAACATATTTACTAAAAAGAAGAATTTGATTTCTTAAAATTGAGAAGTTGCTACATTTAAAATAGACATTGGTCATGTATATCGGTTTCTTTTCATGTTTGTTTTGAGATAGGGTCTTGCTATGCTGCTAGTCTTGAACTCTATTCGGCCTCAGCTTTCAAGTGCTAGGATTACAGGCATGTGCTACCATGCTTGACTGTCCCTTTCTTACTGTGATTAAAAGGTAGGCCTTACGGAGAAGGCAGAAAGGGAGGTGTGGGGAGGGGGGCAGGGAGACTGACTTGATAGTTATCCTGCCGCTCTCTCTTTATAAGGTTGAAGGGAAGTGTAAATTGAATTTTAAGATTAGAATTGTTGACTGAAGATTGTTCAGCTGCTTCATTTATGGCTCAAATACGTGCTGACACTGGTTCCAAGCTTTGAACTCACTGTGTAGTAGGGAAGGGAATAAACTTGAACTCTGACCCTACCTCCTAAATGCTGGAATGACATGGGCCACAGTGCTGGTTTTTTTTTTTTTTTGGCCAGGTGTGGTAATGCATGGCGAGTTCCAGATCAGTCAGGACTACATAGAATATTTTTTTTTAAGTTTTTTACTTTGTGTTTTCTTTGGATATATCATCCTATCTTCTGTAAGCCACAAACTTTCAAGATAGTAAGATAGCTTTACATGATGCATCATCTATATGCTAGATGCTTAGTTATAAACTAATCATTATATTTATGCAAAGCTGGATGGTACAGTTTGAAAAATCTAAATGTAACTAAAAGTAGTTATTTTCTAGGTTGAGAAACCACATGGTCCAGTATAGTCAAAATGTAACTTTGTATAGTAAAACTATAAAAGGAGGTTTTTGTTGTTGTTGATGATGTTTGGTTTTTTGCTTTGTTTTTTGAGACAAGAGTTTCTCTGTGTAGCCTTGGCTGTCCTGGAACTCACTCTGTAGACCAGGCTGGCCTCTACTGAGATTGGCCTGACTCTACCTCTTGAGTGCTGGGATTAAAGGTGTGTGCCACCACTGCCTGGTATGACTTTTATGATAATTCTTTTATAGTTTTACTCCTTTGAACTTTGTGTAAGTAGAATCACATTTTTTCTAGTGATTTGCTTATTTCTTTTTTTTAATTATTTTATTTTGCAATATAATTTAATTCTACATATCAACCACGAATTCCCTTGTTCTCCCCCCTCCCGCCCCCCTCCCCTTCCCCCCAGCCCACCCCTCATTCCCATCTCCTCCAGGAAAAGACTCCCCCGAGGATTGAGATCAACCTGGTAGACTCAGTCCAGGCAGGTCCAGTCCCCTCCTCCTAGGCTGAGCCAAGTGTCCCTGTATAAGTCCCAGGTTTCAAACAGCCAACTCATGCACTGAGCACAGGACCCAGTCCCACTGCCTGGATGGTGATTTGCTTATTTCATTCAACTCAATGAAGTTACTTTTTCTTCGGCTTACCTTTGCCTTCTCTTTTGTACCAGCGTATTTAGTCTTTCTTGTTGATGGCATTGAAGTACTTCTAGTTTGAAAATATTCTTTACTACCCTTCCAAGAGTTCAAGAGTTCTGTAGGATTAACCTTTTTTGTTGAGATATGTGAAGACTTTGCAAAGACTAAGGGAACAGATAATTTAAGAAAATAAATAGCTTTTATTTGCTCATCAAGAGCATTAGGTGAAATTGCCTTTTAAAAATGTCAGTGCTGGGATTGAATGGATGGCTCAGCATTTAAGAGCACTGGCTGCTCTTCCAGAGGACCTGGGTTTGATTCCCAGCACCCACCTAGCAGCTCACAACCATTTGTAACTCCAGTTCTAAGAGCTCTGACCCCTTCTGGGTTCTGCTGGCAGCAGGCAGACAGGTGGCGCGAAGACATGCAGACATACACGCGGGTGAAGCACTCGTGCACTGAAAACAATAAAACTCTTGCAGAACGGTCAGCTCTCACAAGCTAGCTGGTGAAAACGCAGGTGGGATGGTGTGGCCGTGGCCTTGCCTCACTCTGAGGCCTGGCAAGCTCTTGCCGCCTTTCCTCTGGCAGCAGCAACACCACACATGCCGGCCAATGCAGTGAGAAGGTAGCTGTAACCCACACTCAGCTGGTACAGTGAGGCTCGTTTTGACCTAATGAAGCGCTGAGGAGGTTGCCAGGTTCCTGTGGATTGGGAACTACCTTTTGAGAATCACTCCAATAGTGCCACGTTGGAAATGATCCAGTTGTTCAAAAATTAGGGGTTGGATAAGTAGATGATGGCATATCCACAAAAGTCACGTGGCAGGAATTTAATTTTACTAAAGTTTATGCCAAATGTGACTTTACCATGGAGTATTTTTGTATTTTTGGGGCACCCGATGAAGAAATCAGCATTCTCAAGGAAAGTGAAAGTGTCAGGCCTGAGTCTCTCTGTCTCTGCCTTGAGAAAAAAGGGAAGCTCGAAGGCAGAGGAAGCTGCTGCTGCTTTACCGGTCTACGGGCTTTAATTTGAACAGAAAAGGAGTTAGTGGTATCAGTCATTCTAATGTGCTTTATAACAATAGGTGAAATGAACCTTTAAATAAACTTATAGTAGGTCAATTCTCAGTACATTTTAAGTTCTTCTTGCTTTTAAAATTCTTTTTCCTTTTTATAAAAAAGAAGTGTCTGGTACCCTAGGACCTGGGGTTGCTGGTGGTTGTAAGGCACCTAACGTGGGTGCTGGAAACTGAACTAGGTCTTCTGGAAGAGCAGCAAGTGTTCTGTTGAGTCATCTCTCCACTGCCACCCCTTGTGTAGTTGTTTGGCTCTTTCTTTTTTTCTGTTGAGACAGGATCTCCCTGTTTAGCTCAGGCTAGCCTTGAATTCTCCACCTCAGCTTCCCAGTCCTGAGATTACAGGCAAGCATCACCACACCTAGTTTACATTTCTTTATTGTTTTCTTAATTGGAAGAACTTTGAGTTGCTGTGTAGTTTCAGACTGGAGAGGCCAGGGGTAACAGCTCTATGGTAGACTGCTTGCCTAGCATGCAGGTGGCCTGCTTCAATCCTTAGCACCGTAAGAAAAACAAAGTTTCAGTTTGAATTAAAGAAGTATTTTAGGAAGGCTTGAAAGAGACTATTACATTTAGACACTTAGTCTTTCTGTTAAAGCCTCCATAGGAAATGTATTCTATATATATTCTGCAAAGTCAGAAAGCTATTTGTGAGAGTCATCTTTGAAGGTAAGTTACTTTGTACATCTGAAATATCTATTATAATGAAAGTCCAGTAATTATAAATTGGCTTAGTGTGGTTTAATATGTTTTTAATCACCTAAGTCTAGGGAATGTTGGATGCTTAAAGATTCCTTATACATTGTATTTATTTAAAATTTTTCTTAAGCTTGTTAGAAAATGTTAGAATATATATATATATATATACACACACATATGTTACACACACACACATATATATACACAGATATATACATGCACACAGATTTTATTATTTATTTGTATTGCTTGCGAATCAAACCTAGGGCCTTGCACATTCTAGGCAAGTCATTCTACCACTGAGCTATATCCTTAGCCTTTCTATTCTCATTCTCTGTCCCTGTCTCCCTCCCACACTTTTCAGCCTCACATAGGCTAAGTAAATGG